TCCGCTTGGAGAAGCTGATTTGTAAAAGGAGGTACTTTCTCTGCACAGGGACCAGTGTGGCTGGCTGATAGAAGCCTTCAACTCTCAGGGGAAGCTGGAAATTTGAGAACACATGCACTGGACTTCTATTTTGGGGCTACAGGTAGAACTGAGGCATTTGGTGCTAGGAGAGGCTGGGTGATCTAGGGCAGGCTGCCTGCACCCTCTGGCCTGAATGAGAAGTAGGAGGGAGGGTAAGATGGGGGTGTCCTTGAGGCAGGGGCTGAGACCATGGTGGCTTTGTAAGCTGCTTTCCTGAGGCCCCCGTAGCACAGCAGTCAATTACATGGGCCTCACCACCACCTCCAACAGCCTGTTCTGTCACTTCCCTGCCTGGGCTGGGCTGAGCTGCCCCTGGCTCTCCCACCTGTCTGCTGCTTCCCTCCACTCTTCCCAACACCCTCCACTCCCAGGCCTCAGGGCCAGGGCCTCCCTGGGCCCAGCTGGGTAAACCTGCCCCGCCCTGCTGCGTGGCATTCCCTTTGTTGGGTCCCAGAGCAGATGGGTTTTCTCTGTAAAAACAGAGACAAAGCAGGTCTGACAGGGGTGCTACTGGGGATTGCAAGTATGACTGAGACACATCTAGTCCCTGGTGCAAGGGGCATGGCAATGTCACCAATGCAGCGTCTAAACCCCTGGTCAACTGCTTAGAAGCTATGTGAGGTTGGGTTGGACACTCACCCATTCCAAGGCTCGGTTTCCTGATGAGAATTGGTTCTGCTTTCGTGTCCGCCCTGGAATCTGGCTCTGGGCCAGTAACTAGGCTCCAATTGTTAGAATTGGCTTTCTCCCTGTTTGGACCTTCAGAGACCGGTTCTCTCTAGAGCCTCTAGCCTCTCAGCCCCCAGAGGAGGTGCGGCAGAGTGGGGAGTCCCCACCACACCTCCAAGTCTAGCGAATCAAGTCTAGGCTAGACACACAGCAGGCACTCAATGAGAGTTTGTTGAGGGATCGAATGGCACAAAACTAGAGCTGGGAAACTCCCTTTGTCACAGGCATGCCCTCTCCTGTGTTCTGCTGCACCAAACGCAGCTCAAAGGCCAGCTTTGTTGCCTCCTTGACTAGCCTTGTCATCCCAGGATATGTGGGGCATCAGATCCTCAGCCAGCCCAAAAGCTACACCACCCCAGACCTTCCTTTTGGATGTCGCCTGGTGCCCATGCCCCTGGCTGCCTTCACCCCTTTCAGAGCCCCTCAAACCTTGCCTAGGCCTACCTTGCTCCCTACCACTGTGGCTCCAACCCCTGGCCCTGCAGAAGGCCCATATAGCTCCTCCCCATCCAGCCCTGCTACAGACTGCTGTCCTTTCCACCCTACAGACTCACAGGTTCCTAGCCTTGACCAGCAGGCCTCTTGGAGAGCGGACCCCAAGGAGGCCAGAGGCCATGGGACCTCGGATTCGGGCCACATTAGGCCGCATTAGACCACACGGAAATGAGGGCTTCTCAGGTTCTTCTTTGGCTACCCTCTGAGCCCTGGAGTGGCCAGTACTGGGGAGTGGGCATCCCATGAAGAGGAAATGCCCCATCAAGATTCAGATCCCCTTGGAATCCAGGCTATTGACTGAAGGGAGAGAACTAGGCCTTGAAGGATGTATTGGCCTGAATGGAGCAGATTCTACCCAGAGACCTGTGGTCACGGGGCCAGGACAGGGCAGGTTAGGGTCTGAGCTCTCTGGGCAGCCCCTGGCACCTCACAGGAAGGTATCCTAAAGGGCTGCTCCATCAGCTTCACTACACACTCCACCCAGGGCTGCTTCCAACCCTGGATGGTCCCCGGGGTTGGCCTCAACCTCACCCTGAGGTTGTTCTTGTTCTGGCCCTTCCCTCCTGCTCACCCTGGGTTCAGTCCCAAAGGCATCTTCCAAGGGCATCTGTTCCTGCTGGAGCCTGCCAGTCCATTGGGGAAAAAGCATTGTAGTTTCTCCTGACCTTAGACAGACCTGGCCACACACAGCAGACCTAGGCATAGTGCCCTGAGCTACTTGGGGCTCCCTTGAAAGACAGGGCCACTGAGTGTGCCTCCAAGACAGCAGGAGCAGAAGTCTTCCCCCTCCTGGGCCCCCTCATGCCCTCCCTGCCTCTCTCTGGGCTGTGGACTGGGGGTGAGCTGTGATAATAATTCCCATAACGGTAATAATATTGTTACTAACAAATGTTTTTGAACACCCTCTGTGTGCCAGGCTCTCTGTGGGTGCTGAGGAAACGTAAATAAATAAGGTAGACACAGTCCTTGTCCCCATGGATGCCTCTACCACAGTGCTGGGCAGGCACAGGCCATGGCATATGGAAAGCACTCAATACGTTTGTGTTGAATGAATAAAGAATGCATAAAATGAGCAGTCTGGTTATACTCAGCAGCACAGATGCCTGGTGGGGTGTGCAGTGAACAAGTGAAGGCCACTAGGGCAGAGGTGAGGTGTGACTCAGCCACCACCATCCCCACCTTGGAGAAGGCTCCCAGACCCTGTAAATTGTCCCATGACCTGGTGCTCCAGCATGATAGAGATTCAGCAATACAGCAATCCCCCAGGAACAAGGGCATTAAGCATGAAAAGGAAATTCTGAGAGTTTCCTGGAGGGAGTATTGGGGATGCATTGGTAGAAGCTTGTCTAACCTGCTATCCAGGATGCAGGGTATCTCAGGAATGAGCCTACAGTGTGGCCCCTAAGAAGGGCTGCTTCCAGTCTCCAGGAGCACAGCCTTGTCCAGGCCTGTGTCCTGTGGTAGGGTGCTGTCAGAAGTGGGCCTCTGATGTCCTCTCAAGACAGGGATGCCATCAAGGACCCACTGTGGGGGATGACTGGCATGGACCCTGGAACTAGCCCAGAAACTGTTCAATGAAATGGGGAAAGTTTATTCTCCTGATTCTAGAAGAGCCACTCCCCACCACACCCCTGTCTTCAACCCTCTGCGAGAAGCCTTCAGAGATGGATTACACAGCCCAGATGCTGAAGGGCTAGGAAAGTCATACTCGGGAAGACCACTTCTGCAAGGGGGTGATACGGTCCCCCCCAAGTGGAAGTAAACAGGAAGGTAAGGAAGGGATTTCACGATGGTGGGTGGTGGGGTTGGCAGTCCCTGGGGGTGTGTAAGTTGGGAGAAGGAAGCAACGTCTAAGGAAGAGTTTCAGGAATCCACTATGGGATGCCTTGGGCAGGAGCTTCCACAGACTCCTGAGGTCCCCCTCCCCACAGCAAAGCTCTGCACCATTTTCATTCACCATGGCTCTTGGAGTCCTGATGAGGTTTCTGACCACCCAGCCATGCTGTGCACTTAATCCTCGGACAGTCAGTGATAGTGATAGTTGTCCCCAATCTTCACATCATTCAATGGGGTCCAAGTCCTGGGGAGCCTCTGGCCTAAGGGTTCCCAAGAGACCATCCAGCAGCCAACTCTCTTACTGGCCCTTCCACTCGGTCCCCGTTGAGCCTAAGTCTGTACAGAGCTGAGCAGAAACCTTCTCCCTCACAGTATTGAGAGCCCAATGGCTGGCACTCCCTGGATATGTATACATACACACACACACACACCCATATACATCCTCCCACACACACACCACTGCTACACACACCACTCATGTTTCTCTGCCAGCTCAACAGACAGCAGCACCCCGTCTCCCAGAGAGGCATCCATATTCCACCCTGAAGGGCACCCACACTTCCTTGGACTACCCGAAGTTTGTGCCTCTCAAGCGTCCTCCTTCTTGAGGTGTTACAGATCCCATAGACACATCTTACCACATAACCTGTTATCATCCCAAGGGCAGCATCCATAACAGAACTTGGACAAGAGGGCACACAGGGTTATCAAGAATGGCTAAATTAGGGGCCCCTCATGGTCTGGAACGACAGATAGTGCCGCCCTGATGTAGCCAGACCAAAGTGTCCAGGAGGGTCTGAGAGTGGTAAGTGGGGCCCTGGCTAGGCCATGGCACCTGCAAAGGCTGTCCCTGGAGGACAATGGTTGAGAGTGGAAAGAAGACTAGGGAGGGTCCCAAGAGAAGGGCTGCCCCAAATTCCACTCCCCTCAGTACTTCACACACCTCCAACGTGGCACAGCCAAGACCCCAGCTACCTTAGCTGCTCCTTTTCTAGGTAGCCTGGGGAAACAAAGCTCCTTGCAAGGGAGGAGGGAAGGGGGTCATGTACACAGGGATAAGGCCTGGAAGGACAGGGCAGCTGGAGAAGGCCTGAGTGTCTTGGGGAAGCAATGACACCTGAAAGGACAAGACAGGGCACCTTGCTTCTAAACTCGGCAGCGGTCACCTCTTTCAGAGGGCCTTCCTGACCTCTCCAAATGAGGTTGGGTACTTTTTTGTTCCTGCTCCCATACTTGGCACTGCCCGCTGTCATCCTGGGTCTGTGACACTGGCCCAGGCCTTCTTAGGCCCAGGGCTCCCCATCAGTGCTCGTTCGCTGTTCAGAGGACTCCTCGCACTGAGGGGTGGGGTCGCAGGTTTGCCTGCCAGGACCTTGAGGAGGTTTCGGAGCAAGGCACGGCCCCATCCCCCATCTGGGCTGCCCCTGCCCCCCGTCCTTCCCCAGGCTGGGGCGCCGCCCCGCAGAAGCGACTTCAAAGGGCCAGGCTTGAGCTTCCACAGCCGGGCTCCGGTCCGCGGCCCGCAGAGCGGAGGCCGGGGCAAGATCTCCGACGTCGGGGCCGTTCCAGTCCCGGCTCTCTGAGAACCTGGCGGGGGTGCCGGGCTGCAGGCTGCCGGGGCTGAGGGGCGGGTCCTTTGAGCCCCCCGAAGTGGGAGGGTCGGGTCGGCCGCGGGGCCAATCCCGGCGCGCGGGGAGCAGGGGCGGGGGCCGGGCGAAGGGGGGTACG